TGTTGAGAGAGGGACTGCCATACATCCATACATACAACTACTATTTTCGAGTTGAAAATGATAGTTGAATCCTGACGACCCCCCCCCGCTCGACAGCAAAATTTTGGGAAATAATTGGTAGGAGGTTAGGGAAAATCTGAAAGATTTCCTGTTTCACATTGGGTATATATCCACTTCCCCCCTCTCGGACGGAAAAAAATTCTGGAAAGTGGTAGGAAGTTGGGAAAATCTAGGAAAGTGGTAGGTAGCATGGGGAGGGGGGGTCGTATTTGAGGATAGAATTAGGGGGTCGTATTTTTCAAGTGATCACAACGCGATGGCTTTCCCTGCCTGCAGAGCGGCTAGTGTCTGAAGAGGAAGTCATGGTCCGGTGTTGGCTACGATAAACGCTCTTGCTTTGAATCCCTGCATTTTATGAAACAGTCTTCCAGACGCGAGGGTTAGAGACGCAGACAACTTCGCTTCGCTCTGCTTCTTATGTGTTCACGCTTGCCCTCCGTGTCACCATGTTGGCAAAACTACGTGGTTGTCAGCGTCAGGACTTGTGCTTACGATCGGACTTCCCCTCAGCACTTCTCAAATATCCCAAAAATTCAGCAGCAATCCAACCAGGGCATGCCCTGGGGCCTGAATACCAAGCACCGCTCTCAAATTTCCTCCTCTGGAACGTTCCGCAACCGACCACCTTACCCAACATTCTCCAAATTTGCCGGTCGAGGGCGAGAGAGGGGGTGGAAGGGGTGAAAACCAATCAACTCGGAGATACTAGATAGGTTACATCTTCAAAGTGGGTGGGAGGGAACGACCGAATGCGACTCGCCTCGGGGATCCTTCCCTACAACGTGTCTTGAACGTACCTCGTTGTCTTCTCCATCATAACCGGAGCGATGAAGCGTGAAATCGAACGGATCCAACCAGTAGACTTTCCGTGCAGCAACATCAAGCGCCATAGTGAGTGGATGGAATGAGAAGAAACTCACTAGAACCTGCAAAAAATGAATTCCTACACGGCCACTTATTCACTTAGCAATCAATACCTATACTTACTGTAGGGTTGGTCCCGTCCAGATTCGCTCTGATTATATTATACTGTCGTAGCTGAGTTGTACTCGAATAGAAGAGGAGCCTAAAAATATCGATGACATTGTTGCCGACCACTTCCTAAACAGTAATGAAAATAACCGGCGCAGTTGGGCCTGGGAGGGGCATTTTGCACTTTCCCTAGTTCCTTTTGCTAGTTCATTTTAAATAACAGATTAGTTCTTGTGAAAATACGAACGTGCAAGGGATCCACTTTCATTCTAAGAACTTACAGGGCTTCACAACACCTTTAGAAAGTTCACCGATGCCATTTAGTGCCTCCACCAAGCCAAACTGCGCCAAGGAACAAATAATCGGTGATAGTCAATGATAACAAGTGATAACAACGCTGCTTTCATTTAGACGAGGTTTCAGCCTCTTACGCGCTGGCTGCTTACAAAGGAACAAACAAATAAGTAAGGCCGAGCTTTTCGGTCTCTTGCGCTCTGGCGTGCTTTACATAGGATCCACATTCAGCGAATACACACCAGTGACAGTTCTTGTAACAAGCAGCCGTTTGTCTGGGTTTTCCGGTCGGAATACGGTAATTCCAGCGGCTTCCACTTAATGCAGAACAAATCAATCAACAGTCAATAAAATAATGGAGGAATACCGAAAAAAAGGAAATCAGACAAAGTGAAAAAAAAAATGAATGACTAAATAAATTAATCGACAATTACTAAGTTTAGACCGATAAAAGCACTCACGAATAGGACGGGTACCGTAGTAGAGATTTCCGGAGGTGGAGTCAAATGCCATGCAGGTCAAATGCTGGGCCCCTTAAAATGAGGAATAAATCAGTCACGTTTGTTATGTTTACTAGAACAGGTAATTACTGGATATCGATCGAGAAGAAAAAATTCGAGGGCTAATCAATACATTTTTCGGCGCTTTCAGGAGCACCACGCGACAATGGGATAAACTTACGCCTACTACCTGGTCGTCTGTGCCCTCTCGCCGAGATGTCCCCGATTTTCGTCGTCTAGGCCCTCTCACCGAGATAGTCATGGTGCGACGATGACAGCACCCCTCGACTTTCTGGGGACCTAGGAATGGGAAGCGCAGGTCTTTAGATGCACCGCCCCGTGGTTTGTGGTTTTGAGCTTCAAACGCTCAGACTGGCTATCTTCCTAGGATCACTCAAACGACATAGCACTCGTCTGAGATTCACTGTGACCCAGTGGGGCTTGGTGGGGACACCAAATGGTGCCCAGCCAAGGCGACGTTGCCCAGGCTGCATAGGATGTGCAGACCTGTTAATTTCTGCAGTCAGAGTGGCTCACCTGTACTTGCAAGTCCCACCAAAGTGAAACCCATTAGTTAACATGAACCAACAAAATGAACCAGCGAATCTGCACAATGCCCCCTCCAAGTCGAACGGCGGCTTGCAACCGTTGTCACTGAAGTCAATCCCATGTCCACGGTGCGTAGGTTTTGGCGTAACACCAACTCCTTTCCCAGCCTCACTGAATGCCGCTAGTGAGACTTGTTAGGTAACAGGAATCAACAAAGAAATTAATTAGGAATTAGAAATTAATTGGTTAAAGTTCAAAACTCTCCTCCCTCCCCCTCCAAGCCACCCCCTCTAAGCCAAACAGCAGCCTTAATCAGCTTGTTCACCTAAAACCCGTCATCCACATGAAGGCCAAGGGTATGGCATTCTGTAGCGATTTCTTTCTTTATCCGCCAAGGCAATAGGCAATGGCAATTGATGCGCCACCCCCATGGCCTCCATATATAGTAAGATCACAAACTACTGGCCAACTAGTGCTGAGACCTATGAGAGACACCTATTCTACCAAGTGTTCCAAAAGATTCTTGGTTACGTAGCAAACACTAACCGTTCTAGCTGACAGCGTAACATGCCATGTATGTTAGCGAACCGCTTAAGAGGCCCGGACTGCATCATCGTAAAGTAGATTCGCTCTCTTAAAACACGTGAATAATCGCCCTCCTTGCGACAGAAATCGACGACGTGTTGCATGTCGGGTGACTGAAATGCAATACGCTTTAAAAAGGGAATCGCGCTCGATTGTCGATGGCGATCAGTCTGCACGTGCACTGTAGCCTCCCTCTTAACCGCATAAAAAGTACGTGCACTAATAAGGTGATGCGCAGTTGATTGGCCTGGCTCGCGTCCGTATACATCGGGAAATGAAGCGACCATAATATGAACAGGAACCTATATCCCTAAGCTCGCATTCTATCCGTGCTACAGGAATCCATGAATTCCACACTGAGACAGTCGAGTACAGCATTAACTCGTCCACGTTACCATTGTCGGCACTCCATCCAAGAATATCATTCCGTCCAAATGACAACAATCCGAAGTCTATATAGACACCATTTCTGCTGCACACAAGGTAGAACTAGGTATAGACAAAATGCTTCGATCGCTGACTTTTTCCGGTTCTCCCAGTATAATCACTTCCGGTCCCCTCCCGCCTAGCTGTATTCATAGCGGAGGAAAAAGTAAAAAGTTTGCAGGGGCTTCTTCAAATTGATTAATTTACGAATACAGATGGAGTGGTAAAGGGACGTACCTTTGATCTCTCCATAGGCTAAAACCACAATTGGCCCTGTGTTTACTGACATGCCCCTCCACTTTTCATCAAGCGAACTCAGGGTGTACCAGGGCTCGACTTACGAGATCTGCTTAGTTGCTGGGGCCATTATGCATCCGAAGGCCTTTGAAGTTCAGAGACTTACAGGACAAAGACATAATGCTGACGTATCTCCGTCCATCACACAAATACCGCTAGAACAGCCACCTCGTCTCGAAGAACAGCCTTTGTCAACTGGAAAATCGATCGATATGTAAAGAATCCATAGAACTGTAATTCAACTTAAGGTGGGGAACGAAGAATGAAGAGGTGAGGTAGAAGATGTACCAGGATTTATCTCAAAAAAGGCCATCTTGATGACAGATCTTGTCTTTCGTAAAAAGTTATTTGGCCGTAGAGGGCGCGGACCATACCAGCGGAAGTCAAAGTCGATCAAGAGGGGATATTTAAGGGAATCAGAAGTAAAACTTCATATATGGGATCGCCGACATGGAGCTGAAAATTTTTGCGCAAGCCTAAGAAGGGAGGAGTTTCACGAAGAGTTTTTCATGGGAGGATGCGCGTGAAACAATTTTCTGTGCAAAAGAGAAACTTCACATTGCAGTTATCCCACCTTGCAGAGCGATTGCATGAAATGCCCGGCCCCTCTGACTTGACACGCCCATCATGTCAGTATGCGCGGGGATATGGGCGAAGACAGTTAATTGGTATGACTTTCTCACTGGTGTGTCCCCTACACTACGGCGACAAACAGAAAAAGCGCACTAGGGAAGAAGGCCCCGTTGACTGCCTCCGCCCATGTGATTAGCGTGAACTGAGCCTTTTGTCAAAGCTTCGAGTCGTTAATACAAGGAATAACTCCGGAAAAAAGGAAAAAATCAAGTGTTATTCGCCTCCGCCAGATGTGAGCGATACCACGAATTGAGGTAAAATTGACTTCTACCCGCTTGTGGACGGGAGGCATGCACGCCTACATCCTAACCATACAATGGCTCAATCCAGGCTAGAGTTCAGAGCCATCTCAGAGAACTTGAATCAGGTTAGGAATCACGTTATCAACTCGGCAAGAGTGGCAAAGGGAGAGCTAGACGCAATTCGGCTTTGCGGGGGCATTTTGTTGGTGCCCAACCGTCACTACCGATGCCTTCTGAGGAGACCTGTAGATTCCTTTAAAGTTGGGCCTTCTTCTGCACTTGACAAGAGTCCAGGTCTCGCCAAGGAGTGGCGTATAACTTGGTAGGAGTCAGCAAATGGTACTGGCGGAAGTGCAAGATGCCCCTCTAAGCCGAACAGCACGAGAACTTCTTTGGTGCTATAAAATTGCGAAAGTTACAAGGTATTGGACTAGAGGGCGGTATTATAGCAAAAAAGAATATCGAAGAATAGAGTGAATTTGCTGAGCGCTCAGAAGCAGTCGAAGAGAAAGGCAAGGGAGCGTGGTTTCCACGAAAGGGCGTGGCTTCCCACGCCAGAAAGCATGGAAGTCCTTTCTGTCACCTCAACTAGAAAGTAGAACTTCATTCTTACTCCAGATTGAGACTAAATGTAAAATTGTAATCATGTGGTGGAATAATCAGCACTAAGAAAAGCAGTAAGAAAGTGATAACCTGAAAATAGTCTTAAAAAAGGGAATGAAAGAAAAGAGGGAATTCTAGAAAACGACAGTAACCTTTCTTCGTGGTCAAATTGTGATTGATAAAGAATCCATCAACCGGTAGGTGGAAATCGACAACGTCAACTTCCGATGTGATAGTATCCACCCGCAATAAATCGGCTCGACTCGGTACATAAAGATAGTCGGCAAAATATGTCAAAGAAGTTGCATATTTTATCTAAAAATAACTTCATTCGGCTTAAACGGAATTAAAATCAAGACAAACACGTTTGCTCAGTTCGCTAGACAAGCATGAGTTCCGAAGACCACCGACGCGTGTGGTCGCGGTGCGGCTACTTAGCGATGATGGAACCGAGCCGTTTTCTCGCATTATACAACGATAAACGAAAAGAACACAGGCACAAGTAGTCTTGGCTATATTGACTGTGCTCAAGTGGAACAGGTAGCCGAACAGGCCGCTTCGCGACCGCACGCGGCAGTG